TATGACAAGCTATAAGAGGCTATTTATAGAAAGTAGGCGAGCGGTATGTGGGAGGTAGGTGAGCGGTAGGTAGGTGTGATAGGTGAGCGATATGTCACCTCCCAAAAGAGCTCTTAGGAGTGGTGGGCAGCCCAGAACTTAAATACTGTTTTTCGGCCCTACACCTAGCCGATGTGAGACTTTTTGTCCGTGACATTCTGCTCCACCCAATCACGTGACGCCCTCGTCACAGATCGGCTCCACCGAGGGTCCCATTGGACCATGGAGAGTCCAAACACCTGTCAGACAGTAATCTGCTCAGATACCACTTGTTACCTCCCAAAAGAGCTCTTAAGGGTGGTGAGTAGCTCATGACTTAAATACTGCTTTTCGGCCCTACACCTAGCCGATGTGAGACTTTTTGTCCGTGACAGGTAGGTGGGAAGGTAAATGAGCGGCAGGTGTGATTCTTAATTAAGAAGCTAATCAAATTGCTGTAGACCGGATCTCCACATTACCCAACAACTTGCTCTTTATTAGTTTACATTTCTATTGTTTGTTGGCTATTTTTTTGTAACCAAGACAAATAAAAATTTTCTCTGCCGACAAGGCCATGGAGCACATAACAATTAGAATAAAATTAAAGTTGATATTGCAACTACCATTAATTCCAAATTTACAAAATTAATTTCCTTCCTGGGAGCAGACATTTTTCCCTCAAACTCACTGCCAACAAACTAAATTTAAACCAATTCTCAATCCAACTGCCATTCATGCGTGCAAAATTGCTTAACATGCAAGTCATGCTCCCTTTAATTGCGCTGCAAGAATTACATGCACGAGATAAAGATTAGGACTATTTGTATAGATAGCAATCAAATAAAAAAATATGAGTAACATATCGCATTTGGATTGTTTTTAAAACTATTTGTTGCAAGTAAGTTAGAACAAAATCTTCACTTTGTTGCCAATCAATTTTCTTATCGGTTCGAGCGTAACTTTCTTTTAATTGTTAAATTCATATATTTGTGCCTGAACACATCAAAATATTAGTGTATACACTACAACTATGAGCACAAATCTCAAAGCATTCGGATGACCCAGATGATGACCAGACAACCAAAGTGTCTGATCATACACTATTGCACGATCGAGAATCAACCGACACATTGCGTCGAGATATTCAAGCGACATGTCACACTGACACTCTCGACCGACCGAGACTCAAACATGAATTCTTGATCGCGGCTGATTGTTCGACCGGCTTTTACCACTGCGGATGAAATCTACATTTGATAGAGCGCCTCGGTCGACCAATCCATCACTTGGTCATCACTCAACCGGTTTCTTCGGTCAGATGAATTCAAGCAAGCCGACCGAATGATTATTGCCACGCTAAAATTCAAATTATAATACATATATGTTATAAAATTCATACGATTAAAGATAATATTTACTGCATTAAATCATTCAACTCTTTTTATATTTGTACAAAATAAACTTTTATAAAAAAAAAGTGGGGGAAAATACAAATAAAATGACCTTTCACGGACTCTCTTAACAGGCAACCCCTGACTGTCTATACTCCCTTTTTCTCGTCTCTTCTCCTTCACTCGGTCCTCAAGCTCTCGTGGCATGTTCACAAAGGACAATTCAAGATTCAACATCCTAAAAGGTGGTGCGATGAGCACGGATATCTCATAAATGAGAAGCGGGAGAGACTACTGAAAAGAAACTTCTTAAAGAGAGATAACACACATGGAACCCAACAAAGACTCTACACAATTAGACGACCATGCGCAGATCTGGGGGTTACAAACCCAAATGACCCTCATGATGGAGTAAATTGAGGTCCTCCGGGCAGCGGTCACCCAGAGGGGAGACAAGTTCCTCGCCTAGAAGCGAACCCTAAGGGGTTCTTTCCCAAAGGCAAGTTCCAGCAACCAACAAACAGAGAGACAAGACGAGTTCCAGCACAACGACACATCTGCATCTGCTCAGTCAACATGCGATGAGAAGAATAGAATAGATGTGAGTGCCAGTCCTGTCGCTTGCGGGAGGGGTCTTTACTCACCAAACCAAAGAGGTGATACCTCTGCGCAAGCTAAAGATTCATCACTTGGATTCTTACAAAGGGAGGACCGACTCAATCGACCATATCACATCGTTTGAATCATCTGTTGGTCTGCTCCAGATTGATGATCCACTAATGTGTCATCTCTTCTTAACCACCGTAAAAGAGTTGGCCCTTTGGTGGTTCAACGATCTGCCGACTGAAAGTCTGAAACCATCTTAAGTTACTATGAGTTTAAGAGACACTTCGTTTCACACTTCTCAAATGTGCAGAAGTCGAGGAAATACTCAGACACCTTATTCATCCTCAACGAGGGAGAAAATGAGTCTACAGGCCTATATCACCCGCTTCTAGAAGAAGATGCTGAGGTCATAAATCTAAAGCCAGAAATAGCTAGAACAACCTTGAAGCGAGGAGTCCGAAGGAAGTTATTTGAGTATGACCAAAATCTGTTTAAACCTACGACTTTTACATAATTGTTGGAGATAAAAAACAAACACATACTTGCGGAAGAGAACCTCCAAAGCTCCCCACAACGTAAGCTGGAATCATCCAACTACCTGTCAAGGAAGCAGAACAAACGAGGCGAGCAACAAAGGGCAAATGAAAATCAGTCTGTCCTTCCCCAAAACAACAACTCTCAATCACAAGATCATCGGAGAAATGACCGAGACAACCATGACTGAAAGTAGTACTCCGATCAACGGTCAACTCAAAATTATGAGTGACCGCATGTTTAGAGGAAGTTGATTAAATTGGCTTTCTTGATTTTACTATATTGAATGTTAATAATTTTCCCGTCCTTATCGTAGCTGTCACTTCCAAGGAACATGAAAATTTGGAAAATTAATATGCATACATTACAAGTGTCAGTAGAAATCCCAAAGCATTTGGTCGACCTAGCTGATGACCAGACAACCAATGCTTCCTACCATACACTAGGGTTGTCAAAAAAGTTCATAATTCGTGAACAATTCGTGTTCGACTTGCCAATGAGTTCGTGTTCGGTTCTTTTGATAAGCAGATGAGACGAACACGAACATTTTTTTTTAGTTCGGTTTATAAACAAACCAAACAGGAACATACATGCGTTCAAACGTGTTTGAATCACTATTGTTTGAATTATAAAATAAATTAAAATAATTACATATAAAAGTATAATTATAGACTATAAATAATTTAAAATTAAATGTATATTCATATAATTAAATATATTATAAATTATAATTAATTAAAATTTTTTTAATAAAATTAATTTATCATATTTTTAAAAACTAAATCCTATAAATTATAATATATAATAAAATTTTAATAATAATATAATATTGATAGTTATAAATATATTATATATTTATATAATATAAGTTATACAATTAATATAATATACTATATATTAAGAAAAAGAAACCCTAAGCCTTAACCCAATCGGCATCCCCTTCCCCTCACAAAATTGCAAAAACTTTCAGGTTGGACCACCTCTTGCTCTTCGAGTCTTCTTCTCCTGCTCTCAAAATCACAATAGGCTTGCAACTGCGAGAACTCACGGTTCGTTCTCTAATTACTACATCTATTTGTCTTCGATATATTTTCTTTGTCCTCCACGAGTCAACGTTGGCTCGACAACTCAGTATTCTTGCTTGATTGCTCGATATTTTTGCATTGTTGCTTGTTTGACTGATGAGGTGTTATCTTCGAGTATCTTTTATTTAATATTTAATATTTATCTTTAGGTTCACCTCTTAGCTTAAATTTTCTCAAATTTCTTTTAGATTTATTTAGATTTTTTTAGTATAACCGAGTTTTAAGTTTTTGGGAGTGAAATCTCGCATATTGCTTCTATATCTAATTTTTTTTTTTATTTTTTATGACTGAGGTCTGATATAAGGTTTTTTGCTGGGAACTATTATTCAGCTATTGTGCATTTGTGATGTGATTCAATTATTTTGCTTCACTTGTTCTCGCGAGGCTTTTTAGTTAATCTTGAAAATGCTTAACAAGGCTTTTCTTGCATTTGGGCTTTGATTCAGCTATTTTGCACCAAACAATGGAAGACAAGAATCAAGGGTAAATATTAGAATAATTTTCATAGTAATGGTAGAAACAAAAAGTATTAAGACTTAACTATTGATCTTTATGTTCAAACAAATCGAATCAAACACGAACATTAATTTCAGGAATAATTTCGAACATAAACTTATTTCAAACACATAATTTCAAATGAACCAAACAAGAACATAAGTTATGTAGTTCGTGTTTGATTCATTTACAACCCTATCATACACTACTGTACAGTTGAAAATCAACTGATATATTGTTTCGAGAGATTCAAGCGACATGTCACATTGACAGTCTCAGCCAACCGGGATGCAGATTGGAATCATTGATCGTGGTTGATCGACTGACCTGTCTTTACCTTGACCGACAACATCTATATTGACCGGGCACTTGGACTAACTAATCCATCGCTTGATTGCCACTCAGGCGGTCGCTTCAGTCGGATGAATTCAAGCAAGTCGGCCGACTGATTACCGTAATGCTAAAATTCAAATTACAATACAAATATGATATAATATCTATACGATTATTGAGACTATCCATTGTATTAATAACAGTTTCTATAACCATTCTTTTGTATCTGTATATAAATAAAGAGAAAATATAAGAATCTAATGATCTTTTACCGACTCTCTCAACAAGCAACCCCTAAGCGGATATGGTGTCTCTTTCTCTTCGTTCTCCTTCACTCGATCTCCAAACTCTCACGGCGTATTCACAAATGACAATTCAAAATTCATCAATCAGTGAGTTCAAGATCAATCATACTCCGCAGAATTCATAATTCATATCTACAATATTCTGCTTGTACAATTTTCCCCGCACTCAAAAGGAAATCAATTTAGTATTTTTTTTCAAAAATATTTTGATTTTTTTTGATGTAATTCCAGCAACCAAATGAATATTACCGCAGAAATACAGCATACATACAACAATATAAAAATCGAATTTACAATCCATTGATAAGTGCAAATCAACGGTCAAAACATTAATAATGATAAGCATCGCAATGCACTGGCCGGGACAGAAACGCCGCGCACTCCGCCGGCGACCTCTGCTGCGGCCTCCACGGAATACAATTTCTGCGGTCATCCTGCCGCCGCACCTTCAAACACCTCTGCGGTTCCCCGCAGAAGTAATTATAGGAGTAAGTGAAGTTCTTGAGCCTGGGCAGCTCGCATATTCCTTCGGGTATCTCTCCAGAGAGAAAGTTGTGGGCCACATCGAGCTGCTCAAGCTTCTTCATCTCCCCCATGCTCGCCGGCAATGGTCCGACCAGCGCGTTGAAGCTGACGTCAAACACCGTCAGCCTCTTCAGATTTCCGATCTCCGGCGGAATGCAGCCTGCGAGCCCCGTGTTCAGTATCACCTGTTGATATTCGATTTTTAATTGGTTCTGAATTTGTGAAAAATTTGTTTTTTTGGATTAAATTTACCAGTTTGATGGGTTTTATCTAACTTGGTGTTGAAGTTATCTTAGTATAAATAAAAGCTGCTCAAACATCTACAGAAAAAAAAAGACGAAAACTTTTAGTCGAAGTTACGACAATTCATCTAAAACCAGCAGAGTAGGAGGAAAACAATGAATTTTAAATTCCAAAAAAATAATTTTGTTCATGTAATATATAATTAAGAATGATATATTTGATTTGTTTAACTGAATTTTAAAATATTCAAGATTTATTTGGAGCACATTTTGATTAGAATATACTCATAATTTGGTTGTCTAAAAAAATGTAATTTTTTTTTCTTGGTAATTAGTTTTTTAATATTTTAAATAGTTTAAGAGTATAAAAATGAATATAAGAATAAATTAAATTAATGAGACTATCAAAATTTAAAATTTCTCAAAAAAATTTCAATGATTAAGCAGAAAATAAAATAAAATAAACTGAGTGCAGGGCATTACCAGCTGGTTCAGCGTCTTCCCCATCCCGCCAATGCTCGCCGGCAAAGTCCCTTCAATCCTGTTATTAGCAAGCACGATCACCGACGCCTTTGAATTCCCCAAATTGGCGGGAAGGGAAAATTTGAAATTATTATCATTGATGAAAAAAGCATCTAGTTTGGCGGCTGAACCACCCCCATTAAGAACCTCCGCCGGAACGTCGCCGAGAAACGCATTGAATCGAAGATCAAGAAATCGGAGCTCGGGAAGACGGAGAACGAAATCAGGGAAAGGACCCGAGAGGTGATTGTTGCTGACATCGAGCTCGAAGAGTCGGCGGAGGTCGCAGAGGGAGGAGGGAAGCATGCCGGAGAAGCGATTGGAGTTGAGGTGAAAGAGGGCAAGGTCGGAGAGGAGGGAGAGGTGGTCCGGGAGGGTGCCGGAGATGCTGCCGTGGTTGAGGTCGATTCCGGCGACGGTGGTGATGGAAGGGTCGTCGGGGGCGGGGGCGCAGAAGATGCCGGTGTAATTGCAAACGTGAGGTCCACACCAGTTGCCGGTGAGGTTCTTGGGGTCGGAGGTGATGGCGTGCTTCCAGGCCTGGAGGGCTATGTAGGCTTTCTCGAGCCGGGGGTTGGGGAAGGAGAATTGGGAGAGGGAATGGAAGGGGAGAGTTGAGATCAGGAGGCAGAGGAAGAGGAGGAAGGTGGAAGAGGAATTGGCGAATGGCATTTTAGGAGGAGATTGAGGGGAAGGTACGCGGGGATTTTGGAGGAGATTGAAGAAGGGTTTATTTATAGCAGGTTAGCAAACTCATTGAGTAATCGTTTGGACGAGCTTCGCCGAACAAGTTCGTTCGCAAATGGAGCCCTGCCCTGCACTCATGTTTCAGACCGATGAATTTTTCACGTTTTGAAGGAGAAGTCTCGGCGGACGCTCAAGCAAAACTCTCTTTGCACAAATCCGGGCCTGTTTGGGGGCAGCTGTAATTTATCCTGATAATCTGTTGATAAGCAACTGATTTGAATAAACTGACTAACTGTTTGATTTTTGCGTTTGAAAAATAGCTGATTCTAAATAAATAACAATTTTGCCCATATTATAGATAAACTGTTTAGTTGTTTCATTTATGTGTTTTGTAAACAACTTATTTGCATATTTTTTAGTTAAATGAACAATCTGTCACACAAAATTTGTAATTTTCTCAGAAAACGACAATGTATACATATACATGATAGATGTTTTAGAAACAATTAACTTCATTCAGACTCATTCGACACATACAAATCACCGAAAAATTACAACATAACATTAATTCATATGGAATGTGACAAATTTGTAAAATTTAATTCAATTGTTAAGACATAAAAATACAAAAGAGTAGAGTTACATTTATATATGTTAAGCGACTTTGCGGTTGTAGTTAAGTTATTTTTCATCCATTCTACAAAATATGGAAAATGATATTTTTTTTTAAAGATAGTAAACATTAGCTTGAGTTATAGGAACGATACATAGATGGTAGCAAGGTGGTTGTAAATACCAATACATAAAAATAAAGAGTCCATCACATAAATATTATAATGACCGATTCTAAAATAAAACTTAATCTTATAAAAAATCAATCATTCATGAAAGAGCGCAAGTAAGGAGATATTGTGTCTGTTTCAATTTGGACAATGGTTTGCAAATTTCACCTAACAACAAATTTAACTTTAAGGCAGGCAAGCAAACTTCTATCAGATTGTAAAGTCTATGGCGCTTTTGTGATAAAAAACATAAATCAAAAAACACAAATCAAAGACAAATCAAAGAATCTATAACTTCAATAACCAAGTTTAGGAACATCTAAAGCTATCCACAAAGATATATGAATTTGAGCAGAAGTGAGCAAACTTCTACTCAAATATTTTGTCAGCTACTCTCAGCTAAACGCTCACAACATAAATCAACTGAAACCGTTTGGAATAAAACATCCAATATTACAACCAAAATTTCACATCAGATTGCAAAATATTAATGCCTCAAAACATAACTGAAATGGTCTGCTTCAACGTAGCAGGATATTAATCCTACAAACACTCCAACCTCGCTTCCCTTCTCCCGACACCTTCCTTTCCTTCCCCTTCAAATTACTCAGTAAAAAAAAAATGAGGAATTTGAGCATTAACCATGGTTCAACTCTCCATTCTCCTACCTCATTTCTATCTGGTTTTGACTCTAGCAAGTGCCAAAAGGTTTCTGATGTCGTTCTCCCACCGATCTCTGTTTCCTTTGGATCGACCAGAGCGAGTAGACGGGTTCGAGCTAAGAATTTCGACAACGAAGAGCGACGATGGAGAGCAACGAACGACTTCGACAACGGAGGATGTGTAGGAGGGGGGAGTCTGGCTTTCGTCAACGGAGAGCAAGAATGGTTTGAAATGGCTTTGGCTAAGGAGAGCGACAGAGGAGAGCAACGAACGGCTTCGACAACGGAGGAGAGCAACGAAAGACTTCTGCAACGGAGAGCAACAAACGGCTTCGAATGACTTAGAAGAGTGAAGATTAGTGGGCGACGAGGGATAGGTTTACGAGCGAGAGGGGTAGAGGCGTAAAACGAGCGACGAAAGCTGCTTCCGAACGTGGATCGCGGGCATAACCCCGCGATCTGCGTGTAATGAAAAAAAGTAAACTCCGTTTTCAAATAATTTGTCTGAACTTGCGAAACAAACAGATAGGCGGCATTTTGAAAATGTCGCCGCACTTATAAGCTGCCCCAAACGGGCCTGTAGTTTCATGTGTGGATGGTTGGTAGTATTGTGTTGTTATTAAATAACACTATAATACTACCAATAACACCTCCAATAATACCGTCGACAATTAAATGTAATATTTTTTCTCGACGGGGCCCTCAAAAGATAAAATATTACATCAGGAATCTTAACACAATTTACTTTCAGAGTCCAATGGCGGTGGGTCACATGTCAAGTGGGCCCCACTGCAATACACTGACATTGACCAGTATTAAATACGGTGGAGCCCACTTGACACGTGACGCCCGCCGAATGCATTCATGATGTAATATTTTTTCCTCAAAAGAACTCTAAGAGTTTGTTTAGACAGTTTTTTTGTTTATTTTGTGTTTCATACGATTAACACAATTCTGTTTAGAAAACTATTTTTTTGCCGCTTTCTAAAATTCCTGAGAATTTTCTTTTCAACTTAATGTGTTAAAATATGGTAGAAACTAAGGTGAGTGTAAGAAAATTGACATATGATTATTTGTATATGTAGAAATATATATATATATATATATATATATTGATAATTAACATCACAACCCTTTACGAACAACTTTTTAAAACCTACTGCCATCCCAAAAAGCCTTAAAATTATTATTATTATTATTATTATTATTATTATTATTATTATTATTATTATTATTATTATTATTATTATTATTCAATTTCATTTTCTTGAAGGTAGGGTGTAGCTATAGTGCAAGACTATAATACAACTATGCATAGAAAATTTGAGTGAGCGGAGGATATGATTCTCATGCTTTATTTGTAGGTTGTATAGAACCATAAATGCTATAATCTATGTCTGTTGGTGTTTGGGGCCTACCAACTCTGAAGGAATATTTACTTTTTCTCAAATGGGCGCCTTTGAAAATGGACAAAAGTATCATTTCACTTTAAATATATTTTACATTGCACCATTATAAATAATATAATGAAGAGCAATGTTTTATATATATATATATTGATGGATTCACTACTACAAATAAAAAGATTGTATAATATCTCGCGTGTCCATTGAATTGAACTATTGTCTAGTAATTTGGCCTACGTCCTTTACTCTTAGTTTATACAAGTCGTCTGATTGCTTGGAATTGATAGAACATTAGCTATATTAATCATCACCAACATTTTTCTTTGGTCATCAGATTGTCCCTTTCCTTTTATTTTGTACAAACTGTTCAAGTAATCAACCAACTTCAATATTGAATTGAGGCATCCACCTCCTACATAGCCTTTGTCATTTCGTAATGCTTCTTCAGCTTCCTCTTTGATGTTAATGGCTACACCTCACCTGAGCATGATCAATCATAATGACTGTGTTATTGGGACAAGCGAATCAGCCAACAAAAATCATGTGTAACCTTATAGAGGTTTTTGTGGCCCCAACAACTCCCTAATAAAACTTAAATTGGCTTTGCTCACTTGACACAGTCATGATATCATTTGACTTGCTTACAACAACATAAAATATTAGTCATTCCAAGCAATGTAGTTGCTAAGAAGCTTTCATAAGAGAATTTTAGGGATTGAAATTAACGCTAATTCATGCAACTTGTGAATGCGGGGAGGTTATAAAAATATGCTTACGAGATATAAATTATTTGTGATAATCTTCATTATTCATTAGGTGAGTCATTAATTTAGCTTAATTACTTACTAAAAAAATTAGCTTAATTATATCTTGATTTGTTCCACTAGGCTCTGGTCATTTGTGGCCGGTGAACAAAGCGATGACTTCCTCTTTATTTTTATATTATATTTTATTTTATATTTCACCTAAAACACGCACAAAGTAGGTTTGTTTGTGTGAATTGTTAGTTTCCTTTATCATTCTTAAAGGGGACATAATAGCTGGACCATGAGAAGATTGAATTAAGCAAAATATTTAAATTAAATGTGTACCTTAGAGACCAATTGGGATCATTTTTTATTTATTCTATTTTCTTAATATTTTAATTTGAAATAAAATATAATGAAATGATTTTTTTAATAAATTATGCTCAGTAAATTCCATAAATATTATCATTCTCGTAAATATGACTTTGAACTTTTGTGCAACCAAATTAATTAGTTAAGTGCTGAAAGTGGGAAGAGAAAAGGAAAAATTATTGCATGCGGAGAGCGCGCGCAGAACTGAGTGCGCTTTCTGATCACAACCGCACATCAAGCCAAGGCCTGTGATCGGAGAGCACACTTTGCTCTGCGTGCGCTCTCTGCACGCAATAAATGCTTACAGAAAAGAGAGGCTTCTTGAGAGTTAGTTTTCATTCTTAATGACTTTTATTAAATTAGTTCATTATATGTGATTTTCTTTGAAGAAATTCAATAGTATTTTTTAAAAATATAATTTTTTCTTCTAGAGGGAAGGAGGTTTGAATCATTCAAGGCATGACTAGTCAATGTATTCATTTAAATAAGACTATTAATTTTTTTTTTTATATCACTCATTTCTTATATATTTATAAATCTAATACCTAAAGTTCAATTTTTACATATACGTCGTCTTAGGTGCATGAAACAGTGTACATTGCTTTAACAAAATCAAAATAGTGGTGTAAATATAAAAGATAATTTTTTTTTTCTTTCGTGCTACTCATCGCCTCATAAATTTGAAGTTAAAGCAAATTTTAATTGGAATTTCATAGTCAATTGCATAATGATATATGGCCGAAAAAGTTTAACTGACCAATCAACATTTGGTGGTTGCCTATCTTGTTGGTGCCCCACACTTTGCCATGCAAGGTAAATGTTAAGCCATTGATTGTCACATATTTTATTTTGGCTAAAAGATCATTTTTTTTTTTTTTGCATGGATGACCATAGACTCTTTTTCTAATGATACAAACATTCTAGCAATATAACAATTTTCAATGTAATTTTCATGATTTTTCATACATTTATACAAATTAATTACATACATTGAACCAAATTCTTATGAATTTACAAATAATAGATGAAAAATAACACCCGTTATCACTTTTCAATGTTCAAATCTATGATTTTATCTATAAATACAATGTTATGTGCGTAAAAATGAAACTTTAGGTGTGAATTGTGACATTTGTAAGTTCATAAGAATTATGTGCTGCTTATGTAATTTTCCCTAAGAAAACTATCAAAAATGAAAGT